AAAAAAAAAAAAAAAAAATCAGAAAATAACAGTAGGAATCTAGGATGCTTAAGCACTAAAAAGACAGAATAGGAGAGGTTGGAGTTAGTCATGTCTACTAAAAGGCAGTTCCTGGAAACACACAAAAAGGCTACCAAGGATTAAAGGAAAATGTATCTGGGGAGAACAAATACCTATGAATCCCAAATGTGAAAGAGGTAAAAGTGTGTGGAGCTCAAGAGACTGGGTAAGACGGGAAAGAGCCTCTGAGGGTGGGAATGAGGAGCTAGAAGACCGGGCTGCCGGGTGAAGAAGGGTCAGGTGTTCAAGAGAATAAGCAAAGTAAACAGTGTCTGGAGACTAGTTGTTGTTTTTAGTGATGTGGGCATGAAGGGTGGAGTAGGAAGATCACAAAGAGCTGAAGGTCGTAGCAGAAAGTTCTTTTAAGAGTTTTTAGCTGGGGCTGAAGAGATGGCTCAGTGGTTAAGAGCATATATATTGTTCTTTCAGAGGACCCGAGTTCAATTCCCAGTACCCACATCAGGCAGCTTACAACTGCTTGTAACTCCAGCTCCAGGGGATGGCCCTAACCTCAGATACATGCACATATACAGACATACACATAAATAAATAATAATAATAAAATTAAAAAAAAAAAAAGCGTTTTTAGCCTAGGGGCTGGGGAGATGGCTCAATCAGTAACATGCTTGCCAAGCAAGCATGAGGACCTGAGTTCAGATCCCCAGCATCCATGAAGTAGGCATGATATTATGTACCTATAACCCCAGTGCTGAGGAGACAGAGCAGAATTCTTGGCGCTTGTTGGGAAGCAGTCTAGCCTATCAGTGAGCTCTAGGTTCAGTAAGAGAGCCTGTCTCCAAAACTAGGAGGAACAGAAGACACTCTGGCCTCCACATGCAAGAGCATGAGTGTGTGAAAGCATGTGTACATGCACACACACACACACACACACACACACACACACACACACACACACACACACACACCTATGCAAAGAGAGAGATTTCAGCCTGGGCCTGGAGATGTAACTCAAACTGAGACAGTTCTTGCCTAGTATGTACGGAAAGCAGGAAGCTCTGGGTTTGATCCCCACCACTGCATGAACAGGCCATGGTTGTGGTGATCATAAGTTCAAGGTCATCCTCCTTACATGGCTGGTTCAATGCTAGTCTGAGCTATATGAGATCCTGTTTCAAAAATAAATAAAAAGCAAGAGCAAACACAAAAGTGAGAAACAAAGATACCTCAAAATAAATCTTGTAGGAATAACAAAAAGGGGGGGGGGGACCAGAAAGAAACAGCTTGTGTGATTCTAGCAGACAAGGGCCAAAAGAGGTTTGGAATGGCCTCCAACTGCAGCCAAATAAATAAACTGGCTTTACTCCACATTTTGTATTTACCTGTAAACAGTAAAATCAAATGTCAAAGAAAATAACCAGATATTTCTAATCATTCAGGAGGACCATTCCTATTTAAAAACAAAACAAAACAAGAAAAACAAACAAACAAACAAAACACACATAATGGAGCCTAATACATCTATTCCTTCCTGGCCCAGCAAGAACCCATTAAGTTGAAGTTTAATTTAAAGTACAGCTTTATAAATTCTTTTTTTTTTTTTTTAATTTTTTTGTTTTGTTTTTCAAGACAGGGTTTCTCTGTGTAGCTTTGCGCCTTTCCTGGAACTCACTCTGTAGCCCAGGCTGGCCTCGAACTCACAGAGATCTGCCTGCCTCTGCCTCCTGAGTGCTGGGATTAAAGGCGTGCTCCACCACCGCCCGGCCGTAGCTTTATAAACTCTTACTGTCATCTTCTTAAGGCCAAAACAGAGTAAAAAGATGGGCTAGAATAAAAGTGAAGTAAAAAGAATTGTTTCTTCTTCACCCCTCAGAGATCCCTGAGAAATGACAAAGTAGCATAAATGCAGCTTAGAGGAGCAGTGTGTGAAAACGAGGGACGGAAAGCTGGTGTGAAGCACAGTCCCTTTCAAGCAAACACTCAAAGCCCTTAGGTTAACACAGCTGGGCAGTTACAGAGCTTGTTCTCAAGTGTGTCTTCAAGATCCTCCTGAGGACCCTGTGAAAAGCCCAGGAGGCATGTCCACCTCACTGGTGGAACCAAGAGGTTCACAGATGTCGAGGCACTTGACACATGGACCAGAGCTAGGAACTCACAGTCCAAGGCTCTTTCCTGAGCAGCCAACTTACCTACAGGAAAAGTGTGCATCCAGCGCCTTCTGTTGGATGTGAGCTTCATGGGCATTCTTGAGGGGGCAAAGGGGTTAATCAGTGCTCTCTGAGGTGTGTATCCACCGGGCCGAACATGGAGCATGGACTCTGCACTGCCCACATGGAACCTCCCTGGCGCACTAGAGTCCCGCTGTGGTGGTTCTATCATGTTCTCCAGGACATCTGCTGTCAATAATAGGATAGAACACAAAGACAAAACACAAATCCACAATGAAATCAGAATTAAGTCAATCGATGAGTCAAGACCAGCAAAAATCTAGGACATCATAAATACCAGGAAGTAAGAGAAATAAGTAAAATTGTGAAACTATAAAGAAATAAAACATGCTTAGATTTATTTTTCAAATATTTTGAAGACCTGACCCAGTGAAGACACACAAATCTAATGGATTCCTATATTTTGTGGGGGTGACTGGGAACACTAAGCTGGATGCAATGAGTAATGACAGAACTTGAGTTATCTCCCTTGGGAATGGGGTCATCATATTCTCTATGTGGACAAGACAATAAAAAAATTGATGTTGAGCCAGCTGTGACAGTACACACCTTTAGTCACAGAACTTGGGAGGCAGAGACAGGAAGATCTGAGTCCAAGGCCAGCCTGACCTACATAGTAAGTTAGAGGCTGGCCAAGACTGCATAGTAAGACACTGCCTCAACAAGTTGTAAACAAACAAACAAACAAATAAATGAAAGCTGTTTGGTGAACAGACTAGCTCACTAAACCCATTTGATTTTGAGAATACAAGGCTAGAATCCCTCTCCATTTGCACTGAAACCAAATGACATAAGTTCCAGCCAAAGAACACGTCTAGTCCATTCATGGACAAGACAACAGCTATGTATAAGCATCATCTCCATATCTTTTCCTCTTCCATGGCAACTTTGGAAATCAATGACGATGATGGCATCATAGGATAAAAGGAATCTTGAGTTCCTCAATGATTAAGAGGAGCCCCACACTGAACCTGTGTAATGAGAGAGGTGTAAAGCAATCACATGTCATTGTGTTAAATTAAAGAAATGTTCTTAAGGAAAAAGGATAAAGAATGTGTTCATGCTTGGCCAGGCAAGGAAATGTTATATTTAGATTCAACCTATCCTGTGCAATGGCCTATAACAGAGATGGAGACAGCAAGCTATATAACCTGATGTAAAGATCTAAGAAGGGAAACCCAGGGGAACCAAGTCCCTTTTTGTGCATCCCATGTCCAGGAAACAACTAGGCTGATTAAAGAGTGTCATCAAGTGGGGCTGGAGAGATGGCTTGGCAATTAAGAACCCTGTCTATTCTTCCATGGGACCAGAGTTCAATTCCCAGTACCCAAATGGCAGCTCACAACTGTCTGTAACTCCAGTTCCAGGGGATCTGACACACTCACAGAGACATGCATGCAGGAAAAACACCAATGTGCACATGATAAATAAACATTTTTTTAAAAAGTGGCATCAAGGAATATTTTAACCAGACATGGTGGCTTCCATCTGCAATCTCAGCACTTGGTAGGCTGAGGCAGAAGGATCATTATGAGTTTGAGGCCAGCCTAGGCTACAGTGTGACCCTGTCTTTAGAAGGATGAGAACAACAACAAAAGATACCTAGGAAGGCGGCTCAGTGCTTGCCCTATAAGTATCAGATCTGAGTTTGGATCTCTATGACCAACAGCTTCAATGGTACATGCCTGTAATCTGAGCAAAGGAGAAATGGGAAGTGGAGACAGATACCTGGAGCTACTGGCCAACTAGCCTAGCTTATTTGGTAAAATTCAGGCTAATCAAAAGCCATGCTGTTTATTTGTTTGTTTTTAAAGATGTATTTATTTATTATGCATACAGTATTCTACTTGCATGTGTGCCTGCAGGCCAGAAGAGGGCATCAGATCTCATTACAGATGACTGTGAGCCACCATGTGGTTGCTGGGAATTGAACTCAGGACCTCTGGAAGAACAGCCAGTGCTCTTAACCTCTGAGCCATCTCTCCAGCCCCAGCCATGCTGTTTTTACATTTTATTTATTATTACAGTGTGTGGGGACATGAGTGTCAAAGGACACATGTGGAGACCCAAAGACAAATTCTGTGGAGTTGGTTCTCTCCTTTCATCTTTGAGTTCTAGAAACAGAACCCAGGACATCAGGTTTATACAGAAAATTCCTTTACTAGCTGAGCCATCTTGCCAGCCCCCAAAACACAAGTTTCAAACAAAAAGTGGAAGGTACCTGAAGAGCAAAATCCAAGGTTGTCTTTTGACCTCCACATGTGAACTCGCATGTACCCACAAAGCTGTCCACTAAACATATATACTCATTCACATATAATTTTTAATAAATGTTTCAATCATCATTATCTAATATCTAGCATGAAATCTCCTATATCATTGTAATATTTCACCTTTGAATCTGATTTGTATTTTGCATACAATTATAGAGTAGTCAAATCACCACAAAAATCCTGTCACTAGACATAGCGATGTATGCCTGTAATTCCAATATCAGAAGGTGTAGTAGGCAGGAAAACAGCCAAAGACCAGTCTGGGCCAGGCAGTGACGGCACATGCCTTTAATCCCAGCACTCGGGCGGCAGAGGCAGGCGGATCTCTTCTGAGTTTGAGGCCAGCCTGGTATATAGAGTGAGTTCCAGGACAGCCAGGGCTACACAGAGAACCCTGTCTCAAAAAAAAAATTCTGTGGTGGGAACATGAAACCAAGGGCTCATCTATGGACAGAACTGGACCCTCCAACTGACTGCCTCAATTTCCCCAGTGGATTTTTTTTTTTTAATTAAGAAATTTTCTATTCACTTTACCCCAGTGGATTTCTGCTAGATGTGTGTAAACCTTTGATGATGGTACCTTTGTTTGCTCTCTTAATCAGATTACTCCAGGGGGCTGGAGAGATGGCTCAGCAGTTGAAAGCACTGGCTACTGCTCCAGAGGTCCTAAGTTCAATTCCCAGTACCCACGTGGTGGCTCACAGCCATCTCTAATGGGATACAGTGCCCTCTTCTGGCCAGCAGAGGAACATGCAGACAAAGCACTCATATACATAAATAAATTAAAAAAAAAATCAGGTTACTCCAGTGTTTGCTGACTGCTGTAAACTGGTTTGAAAATGTTTCCTGTCGTCTGGTGCTTCTATACACACGTTCTTTACTCCTTGACTTTTGTTGCTCATCTAATAAACTCACTCATTCGAAACTGAAAGTACAGTTGTTACAGATCATTCTCTGAACCACAGAGAATACACTGTAAACTAATGAACTGGTGCTTTGATTTATCAAGTAAGAAAGAATATGGCCTGATTAATTACTATGGAAATCAAAGAAGAAACTCAGCTAGGTAAGATGGTGCACATCTATAACCCCAGCACTGAGGCGGTTAAGGCAGGAGGAGATTGCTGTTAAGTTCAAGGCCAACCCAGGGAATAGTGAAATGAGACTGTCTCAAAAAGGGGCCGCCAAAGTGGGACCGAGTCCTGTGCTCATTGCATGAGTTTGCTGTTTGAAAGCTGGAGTTTATGCAGGGACACTTGGCTCAGTCTGGGAGGAGGGGACTGGACCTGCCTGGACTGAGTCTACCAGGTTGGTCGCAGTCCTTGGGGGAGGCTTTGCCATGGAGGAGGTGGGAATAGGGGGTGGGCTAGGGGGAAGGAAAGGGGGTGGAAGGGGGGAGAACAGGGGAACCCATGGCTGATATGTAGAACTGAATGGTATTGTAAAATAAAATAAAAGGACCTCTTCTTCCCTTTAAAAAAAAAAAAGGGGGGGGGCCGCCAAGATGGCTCAGCAGGTGAAGGTACTTGCCACTAAGTCTAAGTCTGATCTCGAAGGCACATACGGTAGAAGGACTACAAGTGAATTTGAAGCCAGCCTGGGCTATATGAGACCTTGTCTCAAAAAAGCAAGAAAGACCATTTTAAAAGAGCATTCTTTGTAAAGAAAATGTAACTTTTCTTTAAGTTAATGTAGGTGGCATAGGTTATACTCTCTAATCACATAAATAAATACCTGCTTCTTTTTCCTTGGAAATTTCAAGCATTCAGCCAGTTTAAAAAAAAAGAAAAAGAAAAAGAAAAAGAAATCTAACCATCAACAATATTCATAGGCCCTAAGCATAGCATCATAGTTCCTCATTGATGAATTTGTCCTGTTGCCAAGTGCTTGGGTCCCAGGAACTGAAAGTTTCCTGTTAACATACTGGGTCCTGGAAAAACTGCCCTTCCTATAAGGGCTCCTTCTAGGCCAAGAGGGGACAACTGTGTACATCCACATTCCTAAGGCTATAAACACAAATCAGGTTGGGTATGCTTCCCATCTACATATTCTTTTTTTTTTTTAAGATTTATTTATTATGTATACAGTGTTTTGCCTGCATGTATGCTTGCAAGATCTCATTACAGATGGTTGTGTACCACCATGTGGTTGAACTGAACTCAGGTCCTCTAGAAGAGCAGCCCGTGCTCTTAATCACTGAGCCATTGCTCCTGCCCCCATTTACATATTCTTAAGTAATGAAATTATGGAGGACAATGGTTAGTGGAGGAGATAGCTGTTGTGGGATGGTCTGTATGTCAAATTGCTCTGATTGGTCAATAAATAAAACACTGATTGGCCAGTGGCTAGGCAGGAAGTATAGGTGAGACTAACAGAGAGGAGAATTGAGAGAATAGGAAGATGGGAGGAGTCACTGCCAGCCGCCACCATGACAAGCAGCATGTGAAGATGCCGGTAAGCCACGAGCCAGGTGGCAAGGTATAGATTTATAGAAATGGATTACTTTAAGCTATAAGAACAGTTAGCAAGAAGCCTGCCACAGCCATACAGTTTGTAACCAATAGAAGTCTCTGTATTTACTTGGTCGGGTCTGAGCGGCTGTGGGACTGGCGGGTGACAGAGATTTGTCCTGACTGTGAGCTAGGCAGGAAAACTCTAGCTACAGACAGTTTTAAAGGGTGGGACGAGGGAAGCTCTTTGTATTCTGTTGCTGTACTGGGGATAGAACTCAGATCTCTGCATGCTGGGCAAATGCTCTATTACTAAATGGCATTCCTAAACACAAACTTTTTGGTTTTTACTTTTAATTTTGAGAGAGTGCTACATCATTACTCAGGCTGACCTTGAACCACCATGTAGCCAGGCAGGCACTGAACTTGTGACCCTCCTGCCTTAGCCTCCCCAGTAGCTGGGATTATGGACCTGTGTCACCAGGCCTGGCTACAGAATCATCCTGTGTCTTTTTTATTTTGTTTTTTCTAGACAGGGTTTCTCTGTGTGGCCCTGGCTGTCCTGGAACTCGGTCTGTAGATCAGGCTGGCCTCGAACTTAGAGACCCACCTGTCTCTGCCTTGCCTCTGCCTCCTGAGTGCTGGGTGGAGTACACCACCACCACCACCACCACCACCACCACCATGGCAACCACTGCCTGGCTAAACTGTGAATTTAAAGTGAACCCAGTCTAGAGTCCAGCCAGAGCCTGCTGTTTCTTCTCTGTTGTACTCTGAAGTCCCTATGACCCTGAAATAAGCCAGCCTTTTTTTTTTTTAATTAAATAGGTTCTCACAGTGTATCACTGTATAGCTTCAAGTGACCTGGCACTCACTAAGTAGACCATGCTGGCCTTGAACTCGCAGAAATCCACAACCCCAGTGATGGGACTAAAGGTGTGCACTATTATTCCTAGCTAAACCAATTCATTTAAAAGGCTAAAAAAATAGAATAAAAATTAAGCATAATAAAATCAGAGAGGGAGAGAGAATATATGTCATGTTTGGGTGTTTGTGAGAGACTGATTCTAAAAGTCTTTCCATCTGTCCCACTGTGGATATTAAATCCCTTATAGAGAAGGATAGTATTTGCATATAACCTACATATATACTTCAAATAATTCTTGAATACTTATAACAACTAAAACAATGTAAATACCGTGTAAGTACTTGCTATTCTATATTATTTAAGAAATAGTAAGAATAAAAAGTATGATTATGTTCAGTATAAACTTTTTGTATGTGTATAGGTATTTTGCCTGCATGTATGTCTAGGTACCACATACATGTTGAGTACCTTCAGAGATCAGAAGAGGGCAAGGAATCCCCCGGAACTGGGGTTATAGATGAAGTTGTAAGCTATCATGTGGGTGCTGGGTATCAAATCTAGGTCCTTTCCAAGAGCAGCAAATGCTCTTAACTGATGAGCCAAGTCTCCAGCCCCCAGTACAAATATTTTTTAAAAATAGGTATTTCTTTTAATCCACTGTTCATTTAATGTATGGATACACAAATCTATGGATTTAATATGAACTGGACCTGGTGACAAGGTCTATAAATGTAACTAATTCTGAAGGCTGAGGCAGGAGGATGGCAGGATCAAGGCCTATCAAGGCTATAGGGAGAGTTCAAGTCCAGCCTGGGCAACTTAGTGAGACCCTGTCTCAAAATTTAAAAAAATGCAAAAAGACCTGGGATATAACTCAGTGGTATGGCACTTGCCTTGAGTTTAACCTCCATTACTGCAAAGAAAAAGGCATAAATATGCAAAGCCAACTACAGAGGACACAGTTATTTTAAATATGGCACAAACTGAGATGTGAAAAGAACAAACCCCTTTAACCTTAGGCCTAAAAAGACCCTGTAGATGATGTACAAAAGGTTAGAGACAAAAATAGTCTAATACACATGCAACACCTAATATGAACGTACCCACTCACTGGCACGGAAATAACTAAAATATGAGACTTCTACCCCACTCCAATCAATCGCTGTCACTCCCAGGCCCCACACTGCAAAGAACCTGTCCCCAGCCCTTCCCTGCTCTGTCTGCGCTTCAGGGCTCTGACCTCGGGTGCTGGTGTAGCCCAGCGAGCTGCTGACTTCATACTGGTGCAGGTGGGGGTGAGGGATCATCAGGATGTTGGTGCTCTTGCCCAGGGAGCTATCATCAGAAGCTTGGCTCCTCACTTCCTCAGTGGGCAGTGCGCGGCTTGGTAGGGAAGGGCTGGACGAGACATCACAGGAGCTGGCACTTTTGCGATTATGATTCTCCTGTTCTCTCACAGACCTGACATACAAGAGACAAATTACCACCATGAAAAGAACATTTCAACTTTGAGTTAAAATATCAATGATAATCATTAGCTATATATAGCCAGGAAACCAATGTTAAAATTTTCAATGTGGGAAATAATGCTAGCCTGAACAACAAAGTAAGATTTCATCTCAAGACGAAAAAAAAAGGCATGGTGGTTTATATCTAATCCTGGCAACTGAAAGGCTGAGGCAGGAGGATCACCATGAGTTCAACAGGGTATGTGCATGTGACTGTAGGTGCCCGGATCAGATCCCCCTAGAGCTGGAGTTACAGGAAATTGTGAGAGGGCCAATGTTGCGGCTGGGAACTGAACTCAGGTCCTCTGCGAGAACAGTATGTGCTCTCAACTGATGAACCATCTCTTAAGGCTCTACAAAAAATTATTTGTTAAAAATGTATACTCAAGTTGGGCTGAAGAGATGGACCAATGGTTAAGAACACTTGCTTCTCTTGCACAGGACCAAAGTTCTGTTCCTATCAGCCACATTAGCTGGCTTACAACTGTCTGTAACTAAAGTCCCAGGAGATCCAATCACCTCTTCTGACCTCATCAGATACTGCATGTGCAGACACAGATGAAGGCAAAACACCCATACATAAAATTAAAATAAACTGATTCTTTAAATGTATTCTGAAATATGTACAGATGAAAAGAAAAGGATACCTAACTTTTGCTTTGAAACATCCCAGCCAATATTTAAAACATATTTAAAAGTGAGAAAATAACTAGTATATTTGTCTCGCTGATCAAGTTCTACTATTTCCTTAAGAGAATTTTTTGTAATAATACACTCATTAAAACATGAAACGAGCCGGGCGGTGGTGGCGCACGCCTTTAATCCCAGCACTCGGGAGGCAGAGGCAGGCGGATCTCTGTGAGTTCGAGGCCAGCCTGGGCTACCAAGTGAGTTCCAGGAAAGGCTACACAGAGAAACCCTGTCTCGAAAAACCAAAAAAAAAAAAAAACATGAAACGAGCTGGAGAGATGACTCAGAGGTTAAGAGTCTGGCTATTTTTCCAGAGGTCCTGAGTTCAATTCCACAGTGGCTCACAACCATCTATAATGAGATCTGATGCCCTCTTTTGGCATGCAGGTATGCATGCAGACAGAACACTGTAAACAAAATAAATAAATAAACTAAACAAAAAACAAACAAACAAAAAAACTAAAACTAAAAACATGAAATTTTGGACTAAAAAGATGTTTCAATGGTTAGGGCTGCTCTTCAAGGAACCCGAGTTGAATTTTCAGCATCTTCATGATGGCTCAAAACTAATTTCAGTCACAGAGGATCCAACACTCTCTTCTGGTATTCAAAAGCACTTCATGCAGATAGCATACAGACACATACTTGAACATCCACACACAAAAATAAAGTTAAAACAAAACATGAAACTCTCTAAGGGGAAAATCTCAAGGAGCACTAGGAAGAAAGATCAAAAGGAGAAGTGCAGTGAAGAGACAACCTCAGAATAGAAGAATTAGCCCAACAACAGGGTGCCCTTCTAGCATCAGGGCTGTTTCCAACCTCCTAAAAGACTTTCGTGTTAAGTCAGGTGCTTCAAGGTAGCCTGAAAATAGATCTCAAGGCCTGACCACATATCCACCACTACTTCAACAGTAACTATTTGAGCATCAGAGTACGCTTAGTCATGTACAAGGGCAGGAGGACCTATTAAAATGCATACAGTCTGTGTAGCCAGGCATAGTAGGGAGCATTTGCAGACCCACAATTTAGGCGTCTAAGGAAGGTGGACCACCTGAGTCCAGTAATTTGAGATCAGCCTTGAGTAATTCAGCAAAATTCAATCTCAAAAATAAAATAAAAACTCCGAAGAAAAGTCAGAGATGGCTCAGGAGTTAAGAGCACTTGCTATTCTTCCAGAGGACCTGGATTTGTTCAGCATCCATCAGGCTGCTTACAACCACCTAATGTAACTCTAGATCCTGGAGATCCAATCCAGTCTTCTGGCCACTGGGGGTACCTGCTCACACTGTGGCAAACAAATATACATATTGACACAATATACATAAATAAGAAATTAAATCTGAAAAAAGAAATGGAAACAAATAAAAAGCTGTAAGAAAAGCCCCTGCATAGCTACGACTGAGTCCCCTAAGTAGTACCAGGTGTCAGTCTAGGGCAGTGTGAGCTGTGGAGCAAGAGTGTGTCTCAGAAATACAAAGTAAGTCAAGCTTGCTGGTACAGGCTTATAATCCCACCTACTCCAAAGGCTGAGGTTCGAAAATTGCAAGTTCAAGGCTAAACTGAGCTATATTAAGTTCAAAGTAAGCCTGGGCAACTAACTCATTGAGACTCCATCTCAAAACAAAAGGGATCTAATACATTTGCTTAGCATGCTTGAAGCCCTAAGTTCAATTCCTAATATGGGAAAAACAATCCAAGACAATTAATAAAATAAAATATAGAGGTTGGAAAAATGGTTCAGTGGTTAAGACCACCAGGTGTTTTTCTAGAGGACCTGGGTTCAATCCCAGCACCCATATGGTGGCTCATAATTAATTGTCTATAATGCCATCCTAGGGGATCTGATGTTGCCTGGGTTCCTGAGTACCAGGCACACAACTGGTACACAGGCCTGCATGCAAGCAAAACATTCATACACATAAAAATAAATGTTTTAAGATCATATAACTTAGAGTAGCTCATTTTTAAAAAAGATTCATTTTTTTAATTTTTTGAAACAGGCTCACTCTAATTAATATGTAGCCTTGGCTGTCCTGGAACTCACTATGTAGACCAGGCTCGCCTCAAGCTCAAGAGATCTGCCTCCCAAGTGCTGAGGTTAAAGGCATGTGCCACCACATTGGCTATTTTAATTTTAATTATGAGTACGTGTGTGTGTTTCTCTGTGTGTGTGTGTGTGTATGTGTGTGTGTGTTTGTGTGTGTGCACTCCAAGTGCCTTTGCAGGGAGTGGTTGTGAGTCTCCTGGCACGGGTGCTGGAAACTGAACCTGGGTACCCTGAAAGCACTCTTAATTGCACAGCCATTGCTCCAGCTCCAAGTACATTTCAAGAAAACCACACAAGACCCAAAAATGAACAGGTTGTTAAATCTATCACAATTAGAAACTATTATTTTGTCAAAACAACACAGAGAAAATTTACAGAGTGGTAGTTAAAGAAAGTTTTCAGCCGGGCAATGGTGGCACACACCTTTAATCCCGGCACTTGGGAGGCACAGCCAGGCAGAGTTTGAGGCCAGCCTGGTCTACAGAGTGAGATCCAGGATAGGCACCAAAACTACATGGAGAAACCCTGTCTCGGAAAAAAAAAAAAAAAGAAAGAAAGAAAGAAAGAAAGAAAGAAGAAAAAAAAACCTCTGTCCTTGGAATAATAGTCTGTGCTTTGTGAAGTGCATTTCTTGGCTAAAATACATCTGAGAATCTTCTAGTGTTGTGGAGACAATACTTCACTACAAACAAAATAGGTAGAGCCTGCAAATGGAATCCCCAATGATCTCTACAACATAACATTCATGAGGCTAATTTTAATTTAAAACTGCCTTAAATTTTTTTATAAGATTTTTTTTAGTATGTAGATATTATACCTGCATGTGTGTAGGTGCACAGGTTTGCCTTGTGCCCATGGAGGTCCAAAGAAAGCTTTGGAGCTCCTAGAACCTGGAGTTCTAGATGGTTGTTTACCACTGTGTAAATGCTAGAAAATAAACCTGGGTCCTCTGAAAGAGGAACAATAGCTCTTAACCACTGAGCCATCTCTCCAACCCTAATTTAAACTTTTTTTTTTTTTTTGGTTTTTTGAGACAGGGTTTCTCTGTGTAGCTTTGCGCTTTTCCTGGAACTCTGTAGCCCAGGCTGGCCTCGAACTCACAGAGATCCGCCTGCCTCTGCCTCCCAAGTGCTGGGATTAAAGGCGTGTGCCACCACCGCCTGGCCAATTTAAACATTTTTAAGGTTGCTCTCATAAAGGTCCCTCGGGTTTTCTTTTTGCTTTATAATAGTCTGTTTTAATACAAACAATGTTGGAATTAAAAACAATATGGAACACTTCACGAATTTGTGTGCTATCTTTGCACAGAGGCCATGCTAATCTCTGTATACGTGCTGATGAAGCAAGCACCTCTCAGGGTTTCTTAACCTATCTTTTTTTCCTGATATATAATTTCTCTATGTAATTGAGGCTGACTTTGAATCTGAAATCCCTCCACCTTTGCCTCCTGAGTACTAAGTTACAGACCTGTGCCACATATCTAGCCCCTAAATAATTTCATATGCACCCCCAGGGCAATCTGACAGAAAACCTGCAGGTGGCGAGGCGCTGAGCCCGGGATGGACCAGGCAGCCTGAACACTTGAGCATCGTAGGCATCATAATCTACTTGGATGGGAAGGGTGTTCTCAGATTCCTTTGGAGTCCCAAGAGCTGTAAAACACAAATAATACAATTAAAACATATTTCTAACAGATGCCTATAGAAATACCTATTAAGTATCCAATAGATATCTATACAGATGACTTATAGAGAGTCATCAAAATCTGCAAGGCACAGGTGATCATCTACCAAGACAAAGATAGAATAATAACCCGACCATCAGGTTAAGACTGAATGACATGTATGTCAAAGTGACATTAAAATAGTATAGTAGTAGCTGGGCATGGTGGCACATGTCTTTAATCCCAGCACTCAGGAAGTAGAGACAGGCAAATCTCTGAGTTCAAGGTAGCCTGGACTACAAAATGAATTCTAGGACAGCCAGAGTTCTTATACAGAGAAACCCTGTTTCAAAAAAACCAACCAACCAAAAACAAACAAACGAACAAAAAGACAAACAAGTATAGTCGTTAAGAAAGGCAGTGCTCAGCACTTTAGTCTCACGCAGTCCTGCTTGAAATACTCTCTGAGCATCCTCAGTGCTTTACTACTTTCCACCTGACCCATTCGCTGCAGCCGACAAGGTACAACTACCAGGTGGCTAAGGACCCTTCCAAAGGACACAGGAGTGCGGGTGTATTGACCTTTATATGGACCTTGTTATGATACTTCCCATTATTTTCTTGCCATGAATTAGCTGTTTCTAAAAGTGATGAAAAAGCATCTCAAAAATACTCACATGTATCACGGCCATTTTTTGTTTTCTCAGAAGCAGGCTGAAAAATTAAATAGATATTTTATCATTCCTCTGACAGAACCAAACTTAACACAACACAGTATGTTATGTACTACCCCCCAGGGCAAAGACCATGTCCTAGTTATCTAGTAACTTATGAAAAATGGTGCTAACACTCACACCTGCCTACCACAGTGTCAAGTCCTGCTAAGTCTTTCATTTCCACCTTGTATCTTATTCTCACAACCTTATCCAGGTGGGGCATGGACACCACTTCCTTCCTGTTGGGGACTGAATGGGGGACCTTGTGCATGCTTAGGAAAGTGTCCTACACTAGGCGACAGCCCCAGCTTCTCTATAAAGTCTCAACACAGAAATGTTTAAACTCTATTTACGACCTCAGACAAGGGAAAAGGAAGATGACAGTACTTCAAGATCAGAATAAATACACAGCTGTGTGTAGTAGCCCCTGAAAGTTGTTCAAACTGGGGAAACATACCTTCTTTCCTGCCAGCTTTATCCGTGGAGTGAAACTGTTACAAAAGAGCTGGCTTTTGGACGTGTAGGAACTGTAAAAAAAAAAAAAAAAAAAAAAAAGTCATCAATCTATAATTTATTTTTATGTGCATTTGGGCCTATATGTATATCTGTGAGAGAGTGTTGGATCCACTGAAACTGGAGTTATATACAGTTGTTGAGTTGCTGTGTGGGTGCTGAGAACTGAACCCAGGTCCTCCAGAAGAGCAACCAATATTCTTAAATGCTGAGGCATCTCTATAGTAACACATTTGGGGGGGGGGGGTTCAAAACACAGTTTCTCTGTATCCCTGGCTGTCCTCAAACTCAGATCTGCCTACCTCTGCCTCCTAAGTGCAGGAATTAAAGGTGTGCTCGACTACGCCTGGCTTCTTTAATCTAAACCTTAAGACAAATTGCAATCCCAAGTAAGATCAGCTCGCCTATGCCTGGCTTTATTTTAGGTTCACAAGTCTTCCCAATTCTGGCCAGTGAGATGGCTCAGCAGGTAAAAGCACTGAGCAAACCTGACAGTGTGATCTCTGGCAACCTATGGCGGAAGGAGAGAATCAGTTTCCAAAAGCTTCTCTCTGACACACAGACACACACCATATACGCACATACATACAAGTAATAATAAAGCCAAGAACTGTCATAAATGCTTTTAATCATAGCACTCTGGAGGCAGAGGCAGATGGATCTCTACGAATTAAGAGGCCAGCCTATCTACATAGCAAGTTCTCAGCCAGCCAAGCTACATAGTCAGACATTTTCTCAAACAATAATAATAATAATAGTAGAAAGTTTAAGTTCCAACTTCAACATCAGCAATGATTTCAACTGTTGCTCTGGCCTTTTCTCCTCATACACCACATGCTCCCTGTCTAGTGTGCACTGTCCTGACTGCTAACCAGATCAGAATCTTCTATTTCAGGAACAAAATTCCTTTATATCAGAATATTTTCATCCTGATGTTTGGTATAATGTTAGGTCCACAGGAAGTTCTTAATATTTACTCACTGGTTGGCACTTAACAAAACAAAATAAAACAAACAAACAAAAACAGGGCAAAAGTTAGTGCTCAAGAAAAGATGGCAAAAACCATTAAATCCCAATCCCTCTAAAAATAATCTTAATACAACCATGTCAGAAACCTATGTTAACTGGAGACCAGCCTCACCCAAGTGCTGAATGAACACACAGAAGCTATTCTGCCTTTCCATTCTTCAGGGACCATAAGCCTTCTTGAGAAAACTCAGTCATAATCTTGCAAATAATGTTTGGGACATTGCCCTAATTCTATCTTCTAGAAAATCTCTGACTATAAACAAATAAAATTAAAAACAAAGTCAGGTGTGGTGGCACACGCTTTTTTTTAACACTTGGGAAGCAGAGGAAGGTGGATCTCTGTGAGTTCAAGGCCAGTCTGGTCTATGTGGCCAGCCACAGTTACAAGTGAGAACCTGCCTCAAAAAAACAAAACAACAGGGGCTGGAGAGATGGCTCAGTGGTTAAGAGCACTGGCTGCTCTTCCAGAGGTCCTGAGTTCAATTCCCAGCAACCACATGATGGCTCACAACCATCTATCGTGGGATCTCATGCCCTGTTCTGGCGTGCATAAATAAATAAATAAAAACAGAACAAAAGCAGCAGCATCTGCAGATAAGGGACAGGCCATGGGAACAATCCTATGGAACACTAAGTACATAAGAACCCAAGAGTGTCACCTGTACCTACCACTGGACCTGGAGTCCAGCCAACCCCTGGGATTTTGTTTCTCCCAGTGGAGAAAGGAGAGAACTAAGAAGAAGCTGCTCTTTTCTTCCCAGACATGGAGAGTAAAGGATATGAGTGAAAACCCGGCATGGTGACAGATTCAAGCACTCAGAAGGCTGAGGCAGGAGTGTGCTGTGAGTTTTAGGTCGGCCTAGCAAGACCTGTCCCAAGACAAAAGAAATGGCTAAGGAGACACCTTTGTCATGCAAGCATGAGGGCCTGGGTTCAATGTCCAGAACCCAAGTGAAAAAGCCAGGCTCAGTGATGTGCACTTGGAATCCCAGCACAGGGAGAAGGGAGACAGATCCCTGTGGCTCACTGGCTGGCCAGCCTAGCCAATGGGAATGGCTCCTGAAAAAAGACACACCAGGTTGACATCTGCCCTCCAAAGTGTGTACAAGAACCTCCTAGCCACGGTCAATAATGCACCTTAAAGACACGGAAGACTGACTCGAAGGGCCGGGTGGTGGTGGTGCACGCCTTTAATCCCAGCACTCAAGACGAAGAGCCAGGAGGATCTCTGTGAGTTCAAGGCCAGCCTGGTCTACAGAGCAAGATCCAGGACAGGCACCAAAACTACACAGAGAAACCCTGTCTCAAAAAATGAAAAATATAAAAATATTAAAAAAAAGACTGACTCTAAGACAACAATGTTATCAAAGGGTATGGTGGCATATGCATTTAATCTCAGCACCAGGGAAGCAGAGGAAGCTCTAGACCAGCCAGGGCTCTGTAGAGAGACCCTGCTGAGATATACACACACACACACACACACACACACACACACACACACACACACACACACAGAGAGAGAGAGAGAGAGAGAGAGAGAGAGAGAGAATATGCACAATGTATCAAATAAACTTACTTGCCTTGTATTTCCCATGTAATCAAACTTTACAAGCTACACTATAAATTATGTGCTATTCCTTGCCCCTGACCCATAAATAATGCATGCGTATATGTGTAGTATGGTAATAAATGCTGCAAACAGCATAAATAGGTTGAAAGCAACCTTACAAAACATGAATATCCACCATAAGTGTTGAAGACAACATACAGATATTGCTTAATAGCTTTTGTTTGCTTGTTATCTGTGTCAGTGACATAATCCCTTATAAAATTCTAGTAAGATTTCTATAAAGTATCTCTCATTCCTTCTCCATGTGATGTGTTCTGTGCTGTTTAATAAAAGGGAAAGAAAGGGTCTTTGTTAAGGACACAAAGAAACACACACAATGAGATTCACAAGACAGCATTCAAGCAGGCACAGATTCAGGCTCATACAACAGACCAAGAGAAAAATACAAAAGACACAGGGAGAGAAGTAGAGAATTCAAATCTGGGCTCAATCTTGGTCAAATTATACCAAGTGAAAGTGCTTTTTAATTTCTTTTTCTTAATGCAAGAGTGACACATTTTGGGTATTCTGAGGCTATTATTAATAATGTGTTCAAACTGACACATGTGCACTAATACAAACACACACATGCAAACACACCACAGAGATGAGTTATAAAGTAATGTGAGACAGAAAAATGGATTTCTATGAAGTTGAATCATGAAATTGCTATTTTCATGAATCTTACATCACAATCTTCATTGGGGTTTCAGGTTTTTATTAGCAAGGCTCACAATGAAATGTGAAAAACAGGTCTCAGTCCCTCCAAATTCTCAGATTTAAAAGTCCTTCACATATGGTTCCATCTTGCATCATAATGGCACCAGAAAACCAATGTAGGATGAAAAAATAAAGTAGTAATTTTTTTTTTTTTTTTTTTCGAGACAGGGTTTTTCTGTGTAGCTTTGCGCCTTTCCTGGGACTTACTTGGTAGACCAGGCTGGCCTCGAACTCACAGAGATCCGCCTGCCTCTGCCTCCCGAGTGCTGGGATTAAAGGCGTGCGGACCACTGTCCGGCATAAAGTAGTAATTTGGGAATCTTCTAAGTTACTATAAAGTAAAATTTGAGAAAAATGCAGAACTTTAATTGGAATTCATGTATTTCTATATATTCTATAGTTACTTTTTACATTTCCTGAACTAAACTCAAAACCATGAGCTATGGTAAATTAATGGTGATTTTTAACTGGGGAGTGTATTTAAATGTGTATTGAAGAGTTACAAACACAGGGTCAGCGAGACGGCTCAGCAGCTGAAGGTTGTAACTTGCTGTCGTAACTGGGCTGGCAGAAATGAAGATATTCTAAAGAGACACTTGCGTCTCTCAGTCTACGAGATGGAAACAATGGACTTAAAAAAAATGAGAATTCTCCAAAAATTTCATGATGGAGAAGGAAAGGCTGCCAACCAGTGTGGGACTGGTCCCCTGGAAAGAAATTTCAAACAGTTGTGACAATCTGTCAAACCAGCTTCCAGGATGAGCTGAAAGCCCAGATGATGGCAGGTCAGTGGTGGGCAGAACCACACCTTGACTAGCACTGCTTAGGTGTGCATATCCTTGGTCCTCTATTTAAATTCTGATCTCACTTCAAGACCTTGAAAACACAGTTCAGGGGTCTGCTGAATCTCTTTGTCCATTTTCCCAATGCTACTACATTGAATCAGCCTTTTTCTGCTTTCTGTTTTTCTTTTTCCCCTCCGAGCCAAAGACCAAAACAGGGGCTGGGCAGATGGCTCAGGGAGTAACAGTCTTGGCTACTTTCCCAAAGAACCCAGGTTGGATTCCCAGTTCCCACATGATAGCTCACACCCTGTAACTCCAGTTTCAGGGGACCCAATGCCCTTTTCTGACTTCTGGGGACACAAGGCAAGCATGTGGAGCACACACGCACAGGCAAAAGACCCAGATAAAGTTTTTTGTTTTGTTTAGTTTTTAAGTATGATATCTGTGCTGGACGTGATGGCTCAGAGCTTTAATACTAACATTGCTGAGGCAGAACTACCAACAGTTTGAGGCTAGCGTGGCTACACAGCAAGACCCTGTCTCAAAAAAAAAAAAAAAAAAAAAAAAAAGCACAATTTTTCTTGCTTTTTTTTTTTTGAGACAGGGTTTCTCTGTTTAACAGTCCTGGAACTCAATCTGTAGACCAGGCTGGCCTCGAACTCACAGGTATCTGCCTAGCTCTGCCTCCTGTACTAGGATTAAAGGCGTGCGCCACCACTGCCCAGCTTACAATTTTCATAAAAACCACGGGTTCTGAGAGAAGTAAGGGACATTCATTGAACAGGATAATTGCAATGGACCCACATTATCTTTACAGAGATGGCTAAACAAGCAATCCTTGCTGATTTCTGGTTCTTCACTTATGAATATAGGTGACCAGCAACAATCCCTGTACCAATAGGAACACAGCTTGTGACAAAGATAAGACACATACACAAGGCTAACATCTGTATTTGTAATGAGTTTCCAAGCTGAGCTCTGGTGTATATTTGCAGCTTGAATACTGTAGAAGCCAGGACCAGCAAGATTCCTCAGTGTCAGGTAAAGGTGCTTGGCAACAAGCCTGATGACCTGAGTTGGATCCCCAGGAACTACATGGTGGGAGGAAGGAGAGAACCAAACCTTACAAATTGTCCTCTGACCTCCACAAGTGTGCCACGGAATGAGCAGACTTACACACATGCACACAGAAAAATAAATAAATCAGTATAATAATAAATTTTTAAAAAAATATGCTATAGAAGGTTCTATTGAGCTACAGCCATAAGCCAAGCAGTCTGCCCCTCACGGAGCCCAGCCCATGACAAACAACACAAAGAATAGAAAGCACCAAAGAAAAAGTATCTACTGGCCTTTGAGAAGGAGTAGAGGAGAGGGATTGGAGCTGGGCCTTGAAGGAAAAGCAGACAGGGAGAGAGGCCCTCTATCTTAAAAAAAAAAAAAAGAAAAGGCCCAGACCTGAGGTAAGTTGAGTGTCTGCCACCCACAGCGAGAAAGGGAACCAGCGGCAAGAGAGGAGGCTGCAGAGGAGAGGAGGCTGCAGAGGAGAGGAGGCTGCAGAGGAGAGGAGGCTGCAGAGGAGAGGAGGCTGCAGAGGAGAGGAGGC